TTTACTTAACTATAATTAAAATCAAGGCTGTGTCCTTTTAAAACTTGTGTCTCAAAACTAAATGGTACAAGAACCTGGATTACATTGTTTATGAAGAACTAGGATATAACAGTTTGTTTAAATATGGTGACGTGTACTTTAGTGCAAGTGGAGTGCCACAATGTTTAAATAGTGACAGTATTTTTAAAACGGGGAAAAAAAAAGCATTCTTAGCATTTGGTCACTACGAGAGACCCGAGTGTAAGGGACCAGGGGTTTTAAGGCTGTTGAGTAAAAAACTGCACTTAAAGCAAAGAAAACATTTGTGAAGTTGATTTGTCTTATTCTTACATGTGCATCAAAAGGATTCATGTTCCTGTTTTGTTTTTTTTTTTAACATATTCTGATAACTTTGTATATCTTTAGGAGGTATTGAGAAGAATGTTAAACTTTTCATTGGAGTAGTTGTTTACAAGTCTTGATATTCATAGCAGTAGTATTTAGAAGCTTTACAGTAAAGAACATGGAACTATTTGAATCTTAACATTGGCCGTAAGAAAGGTCATGTCTGTGGCAGATGGAATCTGCTTTGATACCTGATGGCTTTAGAGTAAGATTTCATCCGCTGGATATACAGTGAATGAATTTGGTTTGTATTTCCAAACTCGTAATATTAATATGATTACTAAAAAAATAACTAATACAATCTAAATAGTTATTAAACTGTACTGTTTAGGAAATAAAGACAAAAAGAAAGTCTGTACATGCTGAGTACAGGTGTGATTTATTTTCAAATAGTTTTCATCTGCATTTGGTTGAAGTGGTGGATGTGGAATCCACAGATATGAAGAGATGATTGCGCTTACATTGCAAAATTGCTATTTTCCTTATACTCCAGGGCCTGTAAAGCATTGGCTTTTGGCTTATTTGAAAATTTCAACAATGACCTAAAATAATTATTATTGTGTGTCTACATGTGCCAAGCTCTAAGGTAGGTACTTTACCCACACTACCTTCAATCCTTTTAACATCCATTTTCCAGATAAGAAAACAGAGGGTACACAGATTAACACAAGTTCAATTCCTCCTAGCTTATAGGTCACAGAACTGGAATAAGAATTGCAGTTTTCTTAGCCAGGTGTGGTGGCGCACACCTGTAATCCCAGCACTCTGAGGCCAGGCAAGAAGATCGCTGTGAGTTCCAGACCAGCCTGGACTACATAGTGAGTTCCAGGTCAGTCTCACTACATAGTGAGACCCTGTCTCAACCTCCATCCCCTCAAAAGAACTGCAGTTTTCTCACTTCCCAATCCTGTGAGCTTCCCGCCAGGCCCATGGTGACCTGAAAATGCACAAGGCAAAGCAAGGTAGAACTAACATGTATTATCTCTACCAGAGGGCAGAAACCTGAAAAATCCCTTGTTTTCTTACTTTTGAGAGGCTATGTATTGGGAATTTTCATCTTTTTAGTCACAAAGCTGGCTGGGGATTTAGCTCAGAGGCACTGTGCCTGCCTTGCAAGTGCAAGGTCCTGAGTTCGATTCCTATTACAAAAAAGCTGCTGTGAGCTTGGAGTAAACAGAAAAAGAAAATCAAGGCTAAGACAAGGATGAGCTAAAGGACAGGGAGTTTTGGCCAGTTCAGAGCTGCTGAATTGTTCAGTGTTGAGGTTCCAGAAACAGTCTGATGAAGAAAGTAAGTGCCCTCTGCCTGCCAAGGATCTGAGAGAGAGATGGTTTATGAGGAGAAACAGTTCCACATAAGTAACAACAAACAAGGACTATTCAAGGATAGGACCAAAACAAATAAGCTTAACTGGAAGCAAGAGGGATTCAGGGGAGATAAGAAACCAAGGGGTTGAATCTCAGGTATGAGAGACACTAAACAATATGGTTAAGGAGCTGCTATATCCTGCTTGGTGGAAAGTTTTAAACAAGGAGTTAAGGAATTAACAAGGAATGAGTTCAGGAGAGCATAGGCCACACTGGATGACCATTCTGGAAAAACTATAATAGAAGAAATAAAAATAGGTAGAAAGGGGATAAGGGGAAATCACAATTTTAAAATTTTACTTTTAAGAAAAACTGTACCTTCAGGACACAAAGGATATAAAGCCTTTTTCCTTTCCAGCAAACTTGCTCTAAAAAAATTCCTAAGGACTTAAAAGATACTATAATCCTGTAACTTCGCTTCTAGGCCCTCTGTTTTTTGCCTGTAAAGTACTCTTTCTCCCACAGACCTCTATCTTCAAGGAAGCAATGCAAATGGGTTACACTCTAACCTAGTCCACCAAATAAGTAGCCCGACAGACAGCAGGCATATACATCCTAGACCCCCCCATCTTGAGGACAACCCCAAGATCGAGCTCACTTAAAAACCCTGAACTCCAGTCTTTCTTGAGAGTTTGCACTCTGTTCTGAGTGTGTACTCTTAAACTGTGCCTCAGTCTTTCTAATGCCTCTCACTGATATATCCTGCAAATCTTTTCTGTGATGTAAGACAGCAAACTTATAACCTATCCATGGGTGGGGGGAGCTGAGGTCCCCATCTCTCTTTGGGGGGCCTCCTTGGATCCTGTCTGGTGACCCAAGTTCCTGTGAGTCTGTCTACATGCAGAAGCCACGAGTCTGAGCTACCTGTATTCTAGAGTCTGAGGGGTAGGAGGAGGATGATCACACCACAGAAAGAATTCTCACTACTTGCCTTATTTCCTAAAAGGTGAAATGATGATTCACCAGTTACTCTGCAAATGCCAGAACCACAAAGAAGTCTATGAACATGCCAAAAGTTGGCAATTAGTTATCTGTTTAATACAATAAGCAAAACTCTAGGAAAAACTACAGTTGAGTTATACCACATAGTAACAAATTAGGAAAAAAAAATTAACAAGATATTCTAGCTTCACTTTGCATCTGCAAACCTCTAACTAACCCCAACCATGCAGACAGACTTTGCTAGTCAGAGGAAGAGAGGAAGAAAGAGGAAGAGAGAGGGAAGAGGAGAGGAGGAGGAGGAAAGGAAAAAGAGCAAGAGAGGAGGAAGAGGGAGATGGTGAAGTAAATTAAAAAGAAAAGGCTCTTCACTATTTTCTCTCCTTACTGGAATTCGGGTGGCAGTTACAGATCAATATTTGGAATACCTACATCTAGGGGTACTTTTTCTAATAATACAATATGTAGTCCACAATTTTCATTATTCTACAAGTTTAACTGCATCTATTAGAGATTACTTTTTCACATTTTTTCATCTCACTTGACAGTATGCTGATATCCAGCATAGTCTTGATCTAGTCAGTTACATAATACTGTACTTGGGTAACCAAAGTGCTACCTTTCTTACCTTTTAAGATTAAAAACTCAGAAATACCTGCACTTAAGAGTGAAGAACAACGATAGCCCTATAAAGAGAGCAAAATTCCAGATGGAATCTCTTAAAGCATTTAGTGATTACCAATCTTCTTGAAAATGACTGAAAACCTGCTCTAAGCAGCACTTGATGGGGACAGGTGAGGTCACTGATGGATGAAATCATTACAAGATATGCTGGCATATATGGAGTTGAAACCAGCTAGGGAAACATTACTTACAACGCTCCACCCACACATGACGGCTGTCTGTCCAATTCCCATGTCTGTCTGGGGACAATCCTGAGTAAACACTCAGGTGACATGGACATACCTAGATGCAGCAGCAAATGCAACAGCTCGGGCAGCAGTGGCTTCTTCTAACTTCTTCCTTTTTTTCTCCTCCATTAGTTGCTTTTCTACAAAACTTCGGGCTTCTTGTTCAGCTTTTAGCTTTTTCTCCAGCTGGCTGATATTCTGCTTGTCTTTTTGTTTCATTTGCACAGCATTATGTAACCTATATGGAAAGAGTTGTCATGCAGAACCTTACAATTAGAAATAATATAAAACCCTTGAAAACATGGCTGCTTCTTTTTCTTTTCTACCATTTTAAAGTCAAATAAGCACAAGTTTTGAGCAGTAAATCCTAAGTATCAACCCCCTGTGTGCCCAGAGAAAACAGTGTCATTGTTATGTAATAATTCCTAAGCACTACCCAGGTTCAGACCTACCCTCTGCTGTTACAGACAGTCCAGAATACAGAAGTTCTAACAGAGGGCAAGATAATTACAGGACTAACTAATGCTTCAGAGCACCTTGAAAGAACTTCAGTGAGGTCAAAGAACCACTGATGAAATTAGTTCCACCAAAAGTGAAATAGGGGCAGAAAGAGGAGGTCTTTGTTTTCCTGAATACAATCATGCCTTTCCTTTCCAGTTATGAGATGGTTCTTCAGCATCCCCAAATCAACCTCTTGGAGTCACTCACAGCTTTACATATCAATGTGAGGTAAGCTTCTCATTAAAATGTTCATTACAATAGTTATCACTGCTAGAACAATGTTGTTCAGAAGCAATGAAGAGGCTCTCACCTATAATGCTGTAGCTTTGGGGTTACACTGCTTACAAATGTGGAACTCCTCCTTCAATACAGAAAGCCTGGAGCCTGTAATAGTGATCACTATGACCAACACACATTGCTGAGATTTAAAAAAATAATAAAACACCAAACAGCCCCACACAGGGTCAAGTAGTCTAGAATGAATTAATGGAAAGCTTAAAAGAATTCACCCAGAAGAGCTGGCTTACTGCCTTATTCTTCAAAGTTCAATGTCATATTTTAGCTCCAGAATCAAAGTAAATATAGCTTGATCATCTGGAAACTTTCACACAAAGGAACAAGATTTTCAAATTCCAGCAAAACTGCTTATCAATTTTACCTACCATAGAAGCCCAATAACTATTAAATGAGATGAGAAAAAACAGCAACACTAATAAACTTGCAATGAAGTAAGTTTTGTTAGATTTTAAAATCTGGTACTAAATTATTTTAAATATTTTATTGAAAAACTTCTCTGCTGAGTGAAGTCCTTCTGTCACCAAGTATTTTGCACTCCAATCCCTGGAAACATGAGAAATAGTGAGGCGACAAGGTCTGCAAGGTGCACATACTTGTTCTGCAGCAGCTCATTCTCCTGCCGGAGCTGGCCCATTTCTGAGCGGATCCCTCTTTCAGTGCTTGAGAGGGAACTGATCTGACTGCGGAGCTCCTGTTCCACTTGCCTGCTGGCTTGCAGGTCCGCCTTTAACTTTTTAATGTCTTGTTCCAGCCTAAGACAAGGAGAAATGGAGCATTTTCATATCAGAGAGGGCTCCCCCAGGGCTCAGTGAGGGACCCTGGCTGAGGTCCCAGACTGCTGGGTGGATAGCAGAGGACCCACTGTACTCTTGTCTGCAATCTGCTTAGTTTTTTTTTTCTGTGAGTTCACCTGTGTTCCCACCTTTTCCCACTAGGGGTAACTTTTGATTTCCTGCAAATGTCCGTGACACTGACAAGTGAAGGTAATGCTTATGAATATCTGAGCTGCTAAAAAAGGAGGAGGGGAAAGCAGAGAGAATGGCTGATAACTAGTCCTTCTCCCCAGTGGTGACTTTTCCATGCCTCCTAGGACAGGAAATATGTTAAAACAACTAGCTTATGACCCACTATTTCCTGCTTTGAGATACTCTGATTGATCAGACTCTACTGTCTGAGATTCCTTTCTACAGTGGACCTAGAAGAAAACAGTGTCTGAAATTGTGAGCCTCCTTGCTAAGTAATGGTTACACTTTTGATGATTGTGGCAAAAGAGCTCATTAGACTCAACACTAATGAAAAAAGGAAAGAATTACATACTCTAAGAATCGTAAGACGACTCCATCTGTGTTATGGCTGTGTCCAGATGTCCACCCAAAGCCTCATGCGGTCATAAGTGGGGCTTTTCAGAGGTGACTGGGTTTAGAGTGTGTGATGCTGGGACTGATTCATGGTGCAATACTAGGATTAAAGGTGTAAGTGCTACCCACCCTAAGTAGTCTGGATAAGATATATATAAGGGATAGAAAGACCTGTGGTCATCCCTTGCTTGCTTTGCTACCTTCTGCATGCCATGAACTGTTTCTCTTCTTTGATGCCACCCTGCCTTGGAGTCAGCAGACTATGGATGAAACCTCTATAAACTGTGAACTAAATAAATCTTTCCTCCCTTAACTTTTGGGCATTGGGCATTTTGTCTCAGCAATGAGAAATGTAACCAAGACAATCTGTGGGCTACAGCCTTTTTTTTTGTACCGGGGATCGAACTTGGGCCCTTTTGCTTGAGAGGCAGACAGCAGAACCACTGAGCTAAATCCTTGGACCTACAGACTATCTTTTTAATTCCTTATTTCCTGTTTCATCTATTTTCTTTTTCTTTTGCTAGGGATTAAACCCAGGACACACTAGACAAGTGATAAACCACTGAGCTACATCCCCAATCAAATCTGTTTTCTTTACTACAATAAGTTTCATTATAGGGTATGTACTGGGGACCTACATACTTAAATAAAGGATCAATAAAATTGCAAACAAGTTAACAATTTCATCGAGGCCTCCAAAACAGATAATTAAAATGATTAAACAATGACACAAGGAAGGCTAGGATTTAACACGTGTTAGAAGGAATAACTACTATTTAATGAGAATGGTGCCAGGCACTGTTCTACATGTTTTAATGGTATGAACTCACTTAATATGTATGACTATGAGCAAAAGTGCAGCTATTATTCTCATTTTTCCAGAGGAAGAAATCCAGGCTGGGAAAATCTTAACAGTCCCAGATCTCTCAGGCAGTAGGCCCAGAGTGCATTCTCTTCACAGTAGGCCACCCTGCTGTGTCTAGGTGCATCATCCACAGCACCAGACAGGCAAAACGGTTACCAGGGCTCTGTGGAGGAGACGAGGAAAGGCTTTGTAGACAGGATGGAAATGGAGCTGGGCTCTGAAGGCTAGACAAGATCTGGAACATTCTTTTTTCTTTTCTTTTTTTTTTTTTATTGAGTTTATAGCGGCAATTTGTAATAGCTAAAACTTGGAAACAGCCCATTTGCCCATCAGTTGGAAACTGGATAAAGATGTGGTTTTTCTATAAGATGGAATGCTACTCAGCCATAAAGAATGAGAAATTAGATTCATTCATAGGAAAATGGATGCATATTGAGGGGGTGAAGGGAAGATCTGGAACATTCTAAAGGAGGGTGGAGGGTCAAAAACATCAGGAACTGTCACGTATTTGGAGGCAAGTGCTCAGTTTGACCTCTAAGAAAGGACTGTATTGGAAAATGTGGGGAAGCGTCTAGTAGTGGGAGCTGGACAGCAGTTCTGAAAGTCATTCCAAGGATATATGATCATGCTGAGAAGACGGTTTTTCCATCAGGATAAAACCTCACAAGTAGGTTAAAGTCAGTTTGCTCTGACGAAACTTTGTTTTGGTGCTGGGGTACTAAATCTAGGGCCTCACTCACACTAAGCACAGGATCTGCTAAACCACTCTCCAGCCCCTGACAAAACTCTTGTGCATGTCACTAATCCAACATACCAAAAGAACCAAGATTTCTGGAGGGCACTTGTGCTTTTTAGAACTATCAGCTCCACAGACTAAGTCCTTACAGATATTTATTAAATAGCATAAATCCTCTGGGCCTACCACAATGATCAGTGCTTAATAATGTTTCCTGACATCCCTCAGGAAACCAAAGATAGCTTTATTTCCCTATCTACCATTAAGGAGCTTTAAAAAAATCTCAAGAACTACAGATCATGAAATACTGATGGCCATTTATGGTGGAAGCCACCAGTCTGCCTGCCTAGTGCCTGAGAACATGGCCTAGAAACCTTGTGTTCCAGCACTGTGGCCTCTCTGGACACAGCCTGATCCCTTGGGAAGGGTCACAAGTTGACACACTGTTCTATTGCCAGGGTTATTCCAGTTCAGTGTACTCTCGGAAATGCTCTGAACAATTACAGACTGGCATTTATACCACTGCCACACTGTCCCTCATTCACCTGAAGTAACCGAAGGGATATATTCCACAACAGGTAGACATTGTCAGGTTATCTCCATTAAGTCTGGCCAAAAACATGTTAGGTAATTTATCTTTCTTCAGAAGTCAATTTCACAGTTGGAAGATTCCATTTTTTGATAGAAAAGGTGAATTTTTAGATGAACATGGGGTTTTACATTAGTTTAGTAATGGATATGGGGGTAGGGTTCTGATACTGATTCTGTGACCCCAGCCAAGGCACGTAACCTAGGCCCCAGTTTCCTCCTCTGTGGCTGATGATCTCTAAAGTTCCTCTCAGGTTGGTCTAGGATTTCTAGGCCTGACACACTTAACAGACGGCTGACTTGCTTCTTCAGATTAGCAAACTAAGCTCTCTTGTATGCAGATGCATAGGAATCAAGTTCCATCCGACCAGCCTGAGGCAAAACATGCACTGCAGTTGGGAATGAAAAGTAAAATTCAATCTGCTGAGGCTACATGTCACTAATTTTGCAGTTACTGTTTTCTTTCACTTTAAAATCTTTAAAAACCTATTTTCCTTTACTACAAGCTCGGGATAATACTGTTCTGAGTGAAACTTTAGAGTTCCTTGAAAATAGTAAAAATCTAAACAGCTAGTACAGTAATGAAACTGAAATAGGCAAAACATAACTTCTAGAGACCACAAAACACGAAACAATATGTTTTTTTAATGTGGAACTCTGAGTTTTTATCAAAAGCAAATACCAGCACTATATGGCAAAAATAAAAAGGTTACAAGAATATGTATATACTCACTTTGTGAGTATGCATACATTATACGCTTAAGGTTTGTGCACTGCACTGCACGTGTGTTATCTTGCAAGAAAAGGTTTTTGTTTGTTTGTTTTTGCAGGTTTACTCTCAAGTCATTGAACTAAAAGGCCTCACGATGGTCCTACCTGGTATCATTAACTTCATAAAGCTCTGAGTTACTGTTTTCCAAACCACTGCAGCAAACCTGTGAGTTAATACCACCAGCATTCCCAGTTCAAGAAATATTAGTCTACAGGCACAATGCCGACTCTCACATGACTTCAACTGCTAAATGACAAAATCCTACCTTTTAAATTTTATTCCTTCTCAACAGAAAGCATTAATTTAACCTTGAAGGTCTACTGTACATTTTAAGTCTTTACTGAGATGGGCATAAAATGATTTATAACCTCATACTGGATTTGTTTTATTGCAAGAATGATATCCAGAGCTGGGTGTGATGGTGCACATCTGTAGTCCCAGCACTTGAGAGGCTGAGGCAGGAGGATGTGCAAGTTCAAGCCAACCTGGGCTACATAGTGAGTTCAAGGTCAGCCTGAACTACACAGAGAGACCCTGTCTCAAAAATCCAAGCCAAAACCCAGTTAGTATAAAAAATGAAACACAAAATATAAAGAATAAAAATGTTAATAACTCATAATCCTCTTATCCAACATAACCACTTATTATTTGTATTTGGTACGTTCTATATTCCTTTTTTCTATTTTCTCATGTGTAAATATATTTCACATTGGTGACAGTATCACACATATAGATAAACACCCCACACTATTAAAAAACTTGCAGGGGCTGGGGATATAGCCCAGCCAGCACCGCCTAGCAAGTGCAAGGTCCTGAGTTCAATCCCCAGTACTGGGAGAAAAAAAAAAGCTCCTGAACAATTGCTGTACAATATTCCACTGTATGGTTCTACTATACAATCCTCTTCGGCTATGGCTCAATGTTTATATTTGCTCAATATAAATGTCACGTTTTGAAAGAACTGTATGACTTAGTTAATTGAACTGAATCAAGTCAGTTCAAGCTAGGGGTATTTATTAAATAGATAACTACTACATGTAATAATGGTATACTTAACCTTTACTAAAGATCAATACTTTCTAAGTAAAATGCAGATGTGTGATTTATTACTGTGAAGTACTAAGACGTTCAGATTAAATAGTGTTAAGAGGTTAATGTAAAATCTTCAAATGTGTTCAGGAGATTTTATTAAACTGTCAATAGCTGCAACCTAAAGCGGAGGTGGTCAGAAAGAAAATGAGGCAGAATAGATACACTGGGAGGGAAGAGCATGCACAAGAGAGAACCAGAGAATCAAATGTATGTGTGCGTCACCAAAAGAAAACCTTGATAAATATTTTAATATTAAGTTTATTGAGACATCATGAGATTGATACAACTTTGGCCTCTACAAGAGGTGCTCAAAGTAGCCATTAGCTTCTAGACATTTATTA